TTGCCTCCTGCAAAGCACCAATGGCTGCGCTCTGAAAGCGCAGATCTGTTTTGAAGTCCTGAGCAATTTCTCGCACCAGACACTGGAAGGGAAGTTTTCGAATCAGGAGTTCAGTGGACTTCTGATAACGCCTGATTTCACAGAGTGCCACAGTACCAGGCCTGTAACGATGCGGCTTCTTCACCCCGCCAGTAGAGGGCGGGCTCTTGCGAGCGGCTTTTGTCGCGAGCTGCTTCCTGGGTGCTTTCCCACCGGTTGATTTGCGGGCGGTCTGCTTTGTACGAGCCATGGTATAAACACCTCTTCACTTACCCCCCCTTCGTCGGCTGGAGCTCGGCGGCGCTGGCTTCGGAGAGCGACGGCGGCACAGCGGCGGCTGCGAACACAATTTGAAAAATACTTCTTGCTTGAAAAAGTGAATGATTTTTGTGAGAGGGATCCCCAACAACACATATTGATAAAGTGACTGTATCAATGTTGTTGTTGGAATGTGCTGTTGAGTTGCCTGCAATTGATAGCGACTCTATTTACAATAGCCCTAAATCCTACTCTATTCCTTGCCAATCCAATTGTCTCTGACACACCTATCCCCATTACCCCAGTGACTGAATCAATCAATCTCATCGAGGGTTTTTCTTTTTTGCACTGTCCTCCCACCCTCCCAAGGACCACATCCCTGTCCAAGGACTGATCCTGCCTTGCAACATGTCAGAATGTCAGACAAAGCTTCAGAATCCTTGCCTCCAAGAAGCAGCCTGGCCTTACCCTCTCCAGAAATAACTTTTTTGTTCTCCTAGCAGTCCCTGGTATATTCAATACTCTTCTCCAGCACCACAGATCAAAGGCATGAACTCTCCTTATATCATCCCTAGTCATTGTCCAGCTCTATGATGCATAGCAAGTAACTGCAAAGACCATGGCCTGGATCAGGTGTACCTTAGTCTTCAGATGAACATCGTTATTCTTCACTACTTTGGAGAGCTCTCTGAGAGCAGACTTCCCCAACACAACTTGTCTTTTGATTTCCTGGCTGCTGGTTCCAAGTGTGTTGATTGTGGAGCCAAGCAAACTTAAACTGTCAACAATTACAATCTCTTCATCATCTATCATGATACTTCCAATTGGCCCAGTGGTGAGAATCTTTTTCTTGATGTTGAACTTCAATCAATATTGATGGCTTCAGTCCTTGACTTTCTGCAGCAGATCCTCTTCAGTTTCAGCAGAGCAGGGTTGTGTCATCTGTAATAATGCAGATTGTTGATGAGTCTATCTCCAATCCTGATGCCACACTTCTCCATATAGAGCCCAGACTCCTGGATAATTTGTTCCTCATCTAGATTGAAAAGATATGGAGATAGGACACATCCTCGATGTATACCTTCCCAATTTTGAACCGTGTAGTAATTCCTTGCTCTGTTCTGACGACTGCCTCCGGGTCCAAGCATTGGTTTCACATAAGCACAGTCAAATTTTCTGGGATTCTCATTCTTCTCATAGTCAGCCACAGTTTGTGGTGATCCATACAGTAAAATGCTTTTGCATAGTCAATGGAACACAGATAGACATTCCTCTGGTACCCTCTGCTTTCAGCCGAGCTCCGTCTGACATTAGCTATAATATCTTTAATGCCACGACCTCTTCCAAATTCAGCCTGCACTTAAGGCAGTTCTCTGTTGATGTGCTGTTCCAGTTATTTTAAGATAATCTTCAGCAGACTCTTGCTTACATGTGATATTAGTGATACTTTTCTATAATTTCCACACGCTATAGGATCACCTTTCTATGGAATGGGAATAAATATAGATTGCTTCCAGTCGTTTGGCCAAGTGGTTGTTGTTGTTGTTGTTGTTATGTGCCGTCGAGTCGTTTGCAACTCATAGATTTCTACCAACTTTTACAGTTGTAGATAGATCGAACATGCAGTCAAGATGCACTGATAATAATGGGTGACTGGAATGAAAAGTTGGGGACAGAGAAGAAGAATCAGTAGTTGGAAAACATGGGCTTGGTGACAGGAATGAAGCTGGAGATAGAATGATTGAATTTTGGAAAATCAATGACTTATTCATTGCAAATACATTTTATAAGAGACACAAACGCAGGTTATACACATGGATTTCACCTGATGGTATGCA